AGGCCAACGGTACGGAAAAGTTCGGGATTACCAATGTAATTCTTTTTATTTCAAGAAAATTCACAAAAAATAACCAAAAGTACCCCAAGAGAAACGGCCAATATGTTTATACGCTGTCTATCCGCCGAAAATGCACTACAATATATATTCACGCTTATTGAACGCCGAATTGAATATATATTCTAGTGTATATTTGGCGTATTCTTCGGCGTGAAACATATTGAAACATATTCAGGCGCCCTCTGGTGGCCATGAATGCATTCGTATGTTGTTATGCATTCAATATGTTTCACGCTGAAGAATACACCGAATATACAATAGAATATATATTCAATTCGGCGTCCAATAAGCGTGTATATATTATTATTATTATTCTGCACCATATAGCGTTTCTTCGCCAGAGGTGGTTTATTTGTAAAAATATAAAAAACAAGTTATATTTAAAATTTCACAATTTTTCAATTTTTCAATCTCTCCAAATTCTGTTTCTCTTAAAATATTCATTTATTCTATGCCTAACAGTATCTGTACTTGTATTGAAATCAATTAAATAAGTATCACAGACTGGAATTGTACTAATGTTAAATTCATCTGAAATATTTGGTGGTTTTATAGGTACACAGTATTTATAAAATTTATTGTATGTAATGAGCATATAGTTGATGGGCTCAAACTTGGTGTAATCACTGTGACGCGTTGGTAACGATAGGAAATCTGATTCCCTTGTCCAACGTTTCGGTGTTCTAATGTATACTATATACTGTTCAGAATCTGCTTCGATGATGTATGTCCACATATCACATTGTGAATTGTTGAAATTCGTGCAATTTTTCTTCGTTCTTCGAGCGTAGTCATTTGCAATTCCAGCAATCGACATTCATATGGTGGTTTTTTGAACTTGTGTGGCCATTTTATTTTTCTTAGTGCATATAGTAGAAATTGCTTTTGAATTGATTCGATTCTGGCAATCTTCTCGTCAGTATATGGGCACCATATTTGTGATCCGTATTCAATAATCGGTAATACGAATGTGAAAAAGAGTCTCTTT